GCATGCTACAGCAGACAGACTAGATAGCTCAACCCTTAGACCTTGGCCGTACATCGCTATATTTGCTGCTTTAGACATTCTTAGCTGTTTTTAGACATTTTACCTTTTGTATGACTATATATGCCACTCTCCTCAACGGTTTACCTTTTATCTTTTAGCAGTTTTACCTTTTATCTTTTTAGCTTTTTATCCTTTTTTTATCCTTTATTTTTACCTCTTGTATGACTTTGTAGTACATGCTTGTCTATGAAGTTATGTATTCAGTTTTGTATGGCTTGATGCCGTAATAATAAAATGAATGTATGTAAGAAAAATAAGTGGGGCTTAGCAAGTGTAGCGGGAAAGGAATCAAAGCACTGCAGGATTGCTTTGATCCCTGCTTTCTCCTCCACTTGTTTTTGTTCTCTCCTCAGCTTATTTCCATATATAAGACAACCCTCAATTTTTAGTCTAAAGATTTTAGACAGAAGTATAGTCTTATACACAGAAAAATACGGTACCTAGTATATGTGGTAGAGGGGTGGGAATCAAATGAGAAGGAGGAAGCAGAGTGACAATCAGTAATAAACTGTCAAAATGACAGTGGTGCCAATATTTGAAAATGCTGATTATATAAACTTCCTGTTACTCGCAAGAGGTATTTTTTCAGTTGATATCACTCATAGGTTGTTGTCTTTGAAGTAATAATGGTGATGATTCTAGAAAGGTGTAGTGAGATGAGAGTTACATCAAGAAAATAATTTATTGGCTACAACTATACCCAAGATAGTGGATATAGTGTATTAAGAATCAGTAGCCAAATTCCTCTCTCATAGCTATACAAATGGCATAACTTTGGAAAGTAAAATGCCCTTAGTTAATAGACAATATCAGTGCATGCAAATGCCATAATTTTCGGAGGCTGCACACTAAGTCACAGAACTCAGTATGGAACAGATAATGTCTATAGTAATTTCTTGACTTAAGGCCACTCGATTCCTGTGCCATTTGTGTTATGACAGGGACAACAAGGGACTTGTGCTCTTGGTTTTTATTTAACCCCTTCGATCTGTTTACTGGTGATAATGCACTTGATATTGTTATAGTAATTCATAATACATTATATTTTCACTTAATGAAGGCAAGATTTATTTTTACTGGACCCACTTCATCTCTAAAAATTAACAGTTTATATTTTAGGCCACTATTAGAGAGAGAAAATGTTTCAGAGGCAGAAAAAGAAAATCGGTGATAATGTGTTCTGGATGCTGTGCTTCCCTTCACTACATTAAATGCCTTCACCTCAATTATGAAGCTTCTCAAGTTGCACCAGTTCTTAACATAAACGTCTCCTAGGTTTCATGGTCACAGTTCTTTGCATTAATACAAATAAGATTTGCATTTATCTGACATCTTCTTTCTTTTTTTTAAATCTACAGTTATAGAAACTACTGAAGGAAACACTACTATTGTAAGTACATCTGTGATATTTTCTGAGTTACAGATCCATGTGTTTGTATAGCAAATCTCTTTGGTTGGGAAAGTGGAAATGGATAATAACCAGTGAATGAACCATGTAAGTTTAGGTCATTAATAGTAGGTTAAAGTGATTCATTGAAAACAGCCTACAGATAACTTCTGCATTGTCCTCTAGAACTACGGTTGACCATATAGCAGGACCTACTATCCCACTCCGTTGCTGCCTCTGAGGCAGAAATACATGAAATTTTAGGAATACCAGCAGTTCTGAAACAGCTTTGCATTTTTGAAGGAACTCCTTTTAAACTTCCTGAACAAACTTTCAGAGTTGCTGGAGGCTGCTGCAGGAGCTGTTGAGTTCATGGTACAGGAAAAAGCCACAGTGTACCAACACCATGAATTGATATAAGATGAAATGTTGGAATTTGTTGATTTATTGATATTGCCGGAAGGTGTTGTTGTTTTGTTTTGCTTTGAATGAAAATGTGCATCACACAAAATTCTTTCCCAGCTCTACCTGGAGATGTCAAGGATTGAACCACGGTTCCCTTTGTTAACAAGAGAAATGTGTGTCTACAAGATATAATAATGTAACTATAAAAAAGAGGGCGTTTAAAAACTGTTGTTTAATAATGAGTGATAGAGTGTTTCCAGTAATAAAGATAATGACATGGGATTCTAAATTCAGGTTGTAACTGTATCATACAGTAAATGCTATTGCATTGTGTTGATACTTGCCTGAAAAATATGCGTATGAAACATATTCATGTACTCTGAGGTGAAAGTAATGCACAACCATGGTAGCAGGCTCACATAGGATTTTTTAAAGGCATAACATATTCTCCCCTGGCCTCACGTAACCATTTTCATTTTATATTCTGGTTCTTCTTCAGCCCTCATTACATTTCTGATTCTGCCTGTGCCATATGCTAGGACTACTGTGCTGCTTTTGCCTAAAGTTCTATAGATTATTTTTGCTCCTTCACACATATTTATTAGCTGCTTGCTGTTTAAATAGTGCCTTGTTCTAAAAAGAAATGTCTAGTTTACTTTAATCCAGAGTTGTGAAATACACATGCCTTATAAGTAATATATGGTTAAAATACTATCTGTGAAGAACTGTTGGATAGCTCAGTGGCTTAGGCATTAGACTTCTGGTTGTGGAGCCAGAGGTTGGGAGTTTGATTCCCTGCTATGCCTCTTTGACAGGGGCTGGACTTGATGAGCCATAGGGTCCTTCCAGCGCCGCAGTTCTAAGATGATGGTGATTAAAAATAGGTTTGGGGCAAGGTGCATGAATTGAACAAATGTTAGGCCCATAAAAGCAGTGGAATTGATTTAGTATGGCTACAAAGTCCCATTCCATTGATTTGAAAGTTTTAATCAGAACTGTTGTTTTATACATTATGGTCTTGATTGTTAAAGAAACACTTTGATGTGAAAAGCATAGAGCCTTGCGGGTATTCTCAGTTGTGGCTTCCTCCTTGTGGAACTCTCTGCCTAACGAGGTCTGCCTGGCATTTCTCTGTTATCACTTAGGCATCAAATAAAACCCTGTTTATTTCCCCAAGATCCCTAAAATTAACACTTGATACTTGGGTCATATTTTTAAAAGATTATCTGGGAGGCACCTGGCTAGGGAAGGTTGTTGTGCACTATCATGCAGTAAGCAAAAGTCATGAATTTCTTTACTTGAGGTACACTGTGGGGGGAACTACAACTGAAATAATTTATGATTATTTTAGTATTGCTTCATATACTGGCATTATTTAGTATTGGGAGATTTTCATAAATATTTCTCTCGATAGAAAGCAGACCTGGGAACACTACATAAAAAAAAAATCCTCCAGTGTTTTGGAGTTGGACTTTGTCATTCTCAGAATGAATGTTTCCCTGTGCACAAAGGTTGATGGGAAGAAAGCAAGGCAAAACAGTCTAGATATGAAGAGTCTGATATATTCCTTCTGTTTGGGCTCGGGTTTTTTTTTCATTTAACTTTTCAGCACTCCCAAGTTTGCATTTCCAAGACTACTGAAGTGTTAAATGATAGATGCTTGCTATTTTGTATTATATAATGAAGATTTTAATGACATCCAGAAAGAGTAGTATAATGTGGGGATATTCCATTGACAATTCCCATCTGCACTTTGGTGGGTAAATGTACTCATGAGAAAATGAATATTCTGTGATGTTAAGGATGTAGCACAAATGAAATTAAATATGTTCTGTAAATGAGGTCATTCATTTTATTCTATTTTTCTTTTGCCTTTTAAGTGTAATTTGAAGATATTTTCCAGAACAGTTTGCTTTTCTTCTTGGCATTTTAAATGTATGGTGGGAAAATAAAGACACAATCTTGTGAGAAAGGTGCATTTGCATCCACCTACCACTTAGTGGAACTCTGTGAAGATACTTAAGGTGAGGGCGTAAATATTAGCTTTGATGTGCAGGGCCTTTCCAAAATAACTCATATTACATTTTGAGTACTGTAATAAAATATTTCGTTATCTAAATTGTTATATTGTTGAGCTAGGTGACATTAATATACATTATAGCATTCCTGTGTACTAATAATATGTTAAATCGGTTTGGTGTATTTCTAGCTTGAATATATTAATTTCAAAATAATAACTCGTGTTACACTAGAAGCACACAGATTTAAACATTTCCAAAACAGAGAGTACTTCTCTCGATCTTTTGAGTAAATCATTTCAAGATGGCACAATCTGCATTAGGATTTGATTTTTTTAAAAAAAGTAGTTCCTTAATCTTATTTTTTGCTTTTAATGCAAATGCAAAGAAGAGTTCAAGGCTGCAGTTATTAAAAAAAAATCAAGGCCAAAAAGAAAATGTCCAAACTTACTCTAGATCTGCTTTTAGAAAATGCCATGACATGTTTTGAGCTTTGCAGTTTTCTTTTGTCTTTAACATCTGTTGGGGTGTTGTGGAGCAAATTTGTTCTTTGCTGTTTGTGAGAAGTGCTTCATGCACTGAATAGCAAGTTGGATTAGACAGCATCCAAAATCACATTATCATCATATTAGAACTGCAGAGCTGGAAGAGATCCTATGGATCATATAGTCCAGCTCCTGTCAAGGAGGCATAGTGGGGAATTGAACTTCCAACCTCTGTTTGATCTCTGCCAGCTCTGTGATTCAAGAGAGAGGTGAAATGGGAAAACAAAATTGTTCTCTTTCTGGAAGGTGTTGTAAAAAGGACATATCTTTGAAAAGAGGATTTTTTTTAAAAAAGTTCAGAATATTTCGGGCTATTTTTCAGAATATAAATTATACTGTTAAAGCACAATTATGTCCTTTCTGTTTTTGAAATAGAAAAGGCCTAATGGCTAACACACATCTGGAATCACTCCCTGAAACCTCTCTCCAGCACAGATTATTGTCCCCTTTTTTCTGTGCCTTCAGCCTGCATACTTCACTTCATCTTCTTTTCCTTCCTAGTTTTACCTAGCCACTATTCTCAGACTTTCAGGTTTTCACTTCAATATTTTCTAATTTTACTTTATTTTTAGTTTTTAATTTTCTCTTTTGTGTTATGATAAGATTTTTTTTGAAAAAAAACCTACAAAGTAGACCATAGGAAATCAGGTTTTTTCTGCCCTCAACCACCTATGTTACTTTCCCTAATCTTCCCTCCTTGTATTTTCTTGGCCACCATCTCTCAAATCTGCAAATTTTGCCTCCCCTTTTTTCCTAAGTTTTCACTTTTGCACTGTGATGGAAAATGGATAACATACTATGGTGCAAAAGTAATCACATTCTTAAAAATGTAAATGAAGGGTGCAAGAGCAGGTGATATCAAAAGAAAACTAAACAGGAGCACCAGTAAGGCATTGAGGTTTGAAGACTTGGCCAACTGAAAAACATCCATAAGGAAAAAATCATCAAGTGATACACATCTGCAAAGTGCATTGATCAGCACCACATCAGTATAAGACTAGAATGCACACAAGTAGATTCTACTTGGAAGCAAATAGGAACAAAACACAGCAAAAATATACCACCCCTGGTGTAAAAAAAAACCTGAGAAAGCAAGATTTTGTGGTTCTACTTTGATGCCAGTGTCAGCCTTGCATCACGTGGACCCAGTGGTGCAGTAGTGGTGGTATCGGGGCAAGGATGAAGAAATGCTGTATGTGGGTGGGCCCTAAGAGAATGCAACAATTATATAGATAAGCTTATTTATTTTATTTCAAAATATTTTTATCCTGCTTTTCTCCTTAAAAAGGATCCAGGGCAGCTTAGATTTCCATTCAGACTTCTTGTGTTGTTATCGGGTAGTCATGTAAACCTTAATAGTACAATCAAACATTTACAAAAGTAGTCAGTAATTAAATCAGTAATTACAATATGCATGTCTCGGCATAAATATGTGGCTGTCAGGTCTATGGCATTGAAGGGTTTAAACCAAGACTTATGAAGTTGAGTGTCAAGACAATCTGATTCTGTCTGTTTAAAATGAGAGTGATGTTTTTATTTTATTTTTTGCTTGTTAGGACTTGCAAACAATCATTAACAAACTTGTTTTTTACAAGTCTCCTAAAAAAACCACAGAAGCTGATTTTGAGAAAATGCTTCTTGCAGAATACACTAGGATGTTGTAGTACTTTTCACAGAGGAATTTATATGAACTCTGTCAGTTCAGACCATTTTAAAGCTAAATCTGGATTGGACTTTGGAAATTATGCTTCAGGGAGCCATTCTAGCTATTATAGCCACTGCTGAAGTTATAACAAATGAAAGAAAATGCTTCTTCCTACAGCTGTTAATAAACACAGCCAATGTCTTGCTTCTCTGCTTTATGAACCCAGGTTTGCTGATGGCTTGAAGATGATGATGTTAGACTAATGCCTAGATAGCTGTTCTAGTCAGCAGAGTGTCTCTTAAGAAGGAACTCTGTCTATTAGGCAGGCTGTGAATGTGTTCTCTGTAATGAGTTAGACTCTTCCTTGCAAGTTTACTCATTGAACATAATCATATGTCACAGCAGAAGCCATGGGTTATGGTGGGTTTTTTAAAAATTGAACTCTTATTTGTTTAACTGGTCTCTGGAAGCATGATATGCTACAGCTATCCAAAAATTGCATCCACAATGTGTTGCTAGCTTGCAAACTCTGACTTGTTTAAGCGATGTCTTGTCACATAGGCTGAACCCATAGTCATGGGTTGCCTGTGACTTGTTTCTTCAGCTGGTAATCCTGTGTAGCATCTTATAAACGGAAAAGAGAAAAACAGACAGGTTAAGCAAATGATGATTACTATGAACCAAGGTTTATGGGCATGTTCAAATACACCCATATTCATTAACCTAATATTACCTGGATAGATCTTGTGATTCTTTGGAACTGAAGTAAGCTTGTTGCATGGCAATTTGTTCTCAGTATATTTTTTGCTGAATTAGACTGGAAGGAGCTGAAGCCAATTATCCCTCTCCCAAGGTTTTACAGATTTAAGCTCTACATATTGAAACCAACCAATACATTTCCAATACCAAAATGTATTGGAAAATCTGAAATATGAATATTTCTCTCCCTAATCATGCTATCCTTTATTTCATAGGTTGAAGGCAAAATTTTGCCACATCAAGAAGCTCCAGCTCCTCCAAATCCTTCTGGCAGATGTCCTATCTGTCGCTGGAACCTGAAGCACAAGTATACTTATGAGGTAAGTAGTTCTTATTATGAGGTCTACCAAAATAAGGTTTGTCAGGTTGAAGGACTGGCTGTGTTGCATTTTCAAAGGATAAACCATGTTTGTAGCTGCCACGTGTTTGTCGTTTTAACAATCCTGGTATGCACCAAGATCAGCTGGGAGCACAACCAGCTCCTCATTAATTAGCAGTAATTTATTGCCATGACTTGTGTGTTTCACTTAATACAAATGTAAATTGCCAATATGATTCTTTCCACTGGCTCTTAATCATGTTATGGCAGAACAGTTCCCATAATTCTGTACCTGGTGTTGTCTAGCTAGATGCACCTGGATAATAACCAGCTTTATGGACATCTCATGGAATGCCAAAAGAAATAACAGCTTGTTGAAAAGCAGAATTGTATCTGTAATCTGTATCAGTATTGTAGAGGATTAGCCTGCTCCCTCGATCGTTAGCTGTTCCATGACATAATTTGGGATTTGCCCACATTTGTGCTCAGGCCTGTGTATAGTATTGGAGATATTGTCTGTGAACGTTTTTCCCATTCATATGATATCAGTGCAGGTTCCATATTCCATATGGGGGAGGAGAAGTGATGGTGGTACACGTCTGTGCAGGCCTTGGAGAATAATGGCACCCTGCATCTGTCATTCTCTTATATTTAACGTTGGATGTGTAGTTCTTTTAGAGCCCACACTGATAATAGTCTTAGTTTATATTTGAACTTGGGTTGAAATTCGCTGGGAAACATCAGAATGTTTGAAGTATATAAAGGCACCTGGCATTTGATCAGAATAAATCTGTAGTATGGTGAGTCAATTGTCCAGCACCAAAGTATTTCCCCCTCTTAACTTAACTGCCAAATGATAAATATTTCATTTATTTTTATTTTCCATAGTTAAATACTGCCTTTTTGAAAACTCAGTCAGGTAATTTACAGTTTAACATACTAGTTTACAATACGAAAGGGAAAGATGCAAAATCAAATAACGAAGGTATTGTTTTCAATATAATGATCAGTAAATAAGGCAGATCTTGGGGAAAGAGAACTAAGAAGAAACGGAAGTTTAAGAGCGAGTGAGAAGTTAAGCCTTTAAGGTATTATAAGGAAATATTTTGATTATAAGTTCTTTTGCTAATGTATAATATGAGAAACAAAAAGGTTACATTAAAGAGGCTATTCAAAGTCTGGAATAGGAGTGGAAAAAATGCAGTATTAGAAGAGAAAAGGAAGGGAACCAGACTAGGACACATTAAAGATAAGGAAACCAAAGCTACAGAATGTTAATATCAGTGGGATTAAGAGGTTACAGATACAAATGCATCTGGAGAAAAAAAAATAACTGATGAGATGGCAGGCCCAGTTTTAAAGAAAAAAAGGAAAGCAAGAAAAATAAGGAGTTGAAAACGCTTTAAATAACTTAGTGGTGACGATCTTGTGAATCAGCTTTCAAGAAAGCAGGTAGGGAAGTACTTGAGACATGGAATTAATTAGCAGGTCTGGATCAAATGTATCCCAAGAGCATTTGCTCTACTCATGTTTTTAAGAACCAGAAGTGAGCAGGCTAGTGTAGAAGACAGTGGGAAATGGTAGGCAAATGTCAGATATTTTGAAAGTGGTCATGATGTACCATGCCGTGAGTGTTAAATCCAAACTACAAATGACAGTAAAGACATGGCTTAATTGTAATTGTATCTTTAAACAAAAACCAGCACTGCACATTGAACTTCTGGGAGGTTCAGCTTCAAGGAGGAATTCTTGTCAAGCCATGGTAGTGGGTGATGGCTAACTCTCCTTTCCCACAGTCCTGGGAAGGAGGGGGTCAGCATTTGCTGTTTGGCAATCTTTTAAAAACCTGCATTGTTAAGCCATCACTGTAGGTTGCATATGAGACAATAGAGGCTTGAGGCAAAGATGATGAGCATCCGTGTGAAAAAAGTATATAATGTTGGTGGGAAGAATTACTCTGCTAGTGAACGCATAGAACTGCATGATCAAAAGTGATATTGCACAATATGTGTCGAACTGATGCCTGTTGAAGAATTTTTGAAATAAACATGGGATGGAATCCTGTTATGCTCCACCAGAGTGTAAAGCCCTGCTGGCACAGTAACTGGGAATCTTTCTTTTGCGCAAGCTTTGCCCTTATATAAGCTGATATCTCCTATTAAGAATGCCTAAGTGATGCCTGCACAAGGTGTTCCTGAAAAAGCTGCATAAAAGTCAAACCATTCATGTCATAGTGTCGCATGAGCAGTCTGCTCCGAACAAGATTCTAGCCTTTGTCATTGATTATAATAGGAGTGAAGACCATGTTCCTCTCCAGAAAGTTGTTGGGCTGCAATTCCCATCAGCTGTAGCCAGCAAACTCAACAATATCCAAACACCTTCTCTGGGTTGCAGTGAAGAAGTTAGTATCTTCTGTTTTAATATTCTTTTCCATGTGGAAGAACATAATGTTAAGTAGACAGATTGTTCAGAACAGTTCCAGCGCTAAGTATATAAACATTTCTGCAAAAGCAGATGATCTGATATCATCGGCCACACAGAATTCCTTAGAAATTATTCACCTCCCACTACAGTTGGCAGATTTAGTAAGGCAAAAATAAGAGAGCAATGTCTGTCCCAGGGAAGGAGGGGGTGGCATTGTGTTTTGTGAAGTTGTACTGCTATCTTATAAGGGCAGTTCCCTTGAAACGAGAGACACCAGGAATACCTGCTTCTCATTGCTGTCCCCTGCACACACACAGTTGCAGAGCTGTTACCTTATTTTTAACATCAGCTGTTGTTTCTTACTCTTCAGTACAGTATATAGATTTTTTCTTATCCTCATAACTAGCTTGTGAAGCAGGTTTGGGTTAAGGATTGTAGTGTGTCAAGTTTGTGAAATAAGCTTCGTGTTCTTGTATATCTAAACCTAAAATTTCTATCTGTTTTATGACAGTGGCTTCTGTGTACCACTTTCTAGGTGGAAGGAGAATAACATTCCTTTAGTCTGGTCTTATACAATAGGAAATGGGTCATCCTCTCATTGGCTGATAAAGAATAAAGTGTGCTGCTTATATACTGCCCCATAGCACTTAAAGCACTCGGCAGTTTACAATTTAATTATACAAGCTACATGTTGCCCTTCCCCCAGCAAGCTGGGTACTCGATTTGCCAACCTTGAAATGATGAAAGGCTGAATCAACCTTGAACCAGCTGCCTGGGATTGAACTCAGATCATGAGCAGAGCTTTGGCTGCAATACTGCAGTTTAACCACTACACTATGAGGCTGAATATCCTTCACTTACCATCTATTTGCCAGGTTGAGAGCTAGGGTACATTGGGAAGTATTTTTGGTTGATTCTCCATAGCTACTGAATTTCCTGACCATTACAAATGTCTTTCATGGGTTTAATAAGACTGCAATATTTCTTTTGATGGGAGCTACACTTCAGCTGTCACTGTTGCAGCAATATTATACGATACCACTCTGTTGAATTTTTAGTAGATAACTTTAATTTCATCTAGTGTTACCAGCTGCAGGTCAGTTTTTAACTGAGCTTTCTATGTGTATTGAGGAGCAGCGTGGTTTTAAGATGAAATACCAGCCTTTAGTCATACCAAATAGTGCTGCTCAATTCTCAAATAGGGTTGTTTCAGCAGAAATCCTTTAGTGAAATTGTAAATGTTATCTGATTTCATATATAGTCTGGTTTTAGGGTCTGTGTCTAGTGTTCATTTGTCTGAGTGCTACTTTATTTGGTTCATACTAGTTAGTCATTAAAGAAATGGGAGTGCCTGACCACCTTGTCTATCTCTTGAGAAACCTATATGTGGGACAGGAAGCAACAGGTAGAACTGGATATGGAGCAACTGATTGGTTCAAAATTGGGAAAGGAGTACGACAAGGCTGTATATTGCCCCCCGGCTTATTTAACTTATATGCAGAATACATCATGCGGAAGGCTGAACTGGAGGAATCCCAAGCCGAATTAAGATTGCCGGAAGAAATATCAACAACCTCCGATATGCAGATGATATCACTCTGATGGCAGAAAGTGAGGAGGAATTAAAGAACCTTGTAATGAGGGTGAAAGAGGAGAGTGCAAAAAACAGCCTACATCTCAACATCAAAAAAACTAAGATCATGGCCACTGGTCCCATCAGCTCCTGGGAAATTGAAGGGGAAGATATGGAGGCAGTGACAGATTTTACTTTCTTGGGCTCCATGATCACTGCAGAGGGAGACAGCAGCCACGAAATTAAAAGACTCCTGCTTCTGGGGAGGAAAGCAATGACAAACCTTGACAGCATCTTAAAAAGCAGAGATATCACCTTGCCAACAAAAGTCCGAATAGTCAAAGCTATGGTTTTTCCTGTTGTGATGTATGGAAGTGAGAGCTGGACCATAAAGAAAGCAGACCGCCGAAGAATTGATGCCTTTGAATTGTGGTGCTGGAGGAGACTCTTGAGAGTCCCCTGGACTGCAAGGAGAACAAACCTATCCATTCTAAAGGAAATCAACCCTGAGTGCTCACTGGAAGGACAGATCCTGAAGCTGAGGCTCCAGTACTTTGGCCATCTCATGAGAAGACTCCTTGGAAAAGACCTTGATGTTAGGAAAGTGTGACGGCAAGAGGAGAAGGGGATGACAGAGGATGAGATGGCTGGACAGTGTCATCGAAGCAACCAAAATGAATTTGACACAACTACGGAAAGCAGTGGAAGATAGGAGGGTCTGGCGTGCTCTGGTCCATGGGGTCACGAAGAGTCGGACAACGAGTTAGTCATCAGTGGACTAGTTTGCCTGGGCCATATTTTTCAGAGTGGAATGTGAAACTCTTGTACCGGCTGAGCTGTGCTCTCTTGGATAAGGTGTAAGGCTTCCTCTTGCTGCACACTAATAATTCACTATGTGAAGAAAGTTACTGCCTTTCTGGCTTATTGATCTTGGTGGACTAATCCCTGTACTATATAGCCAACAATGTCAAGATTGATGACATGGCCTTTAGTAGGGAAAGTGCTCTGTTGATAAATATTGTATCAATATTGCGGCTCTGCAGACTCAAATACCCCTTTTGATGGGCAGTTGCTCCCACTCATCCCAAAAGTAGTATCCCTCACACAGATATATGGAGATGTTGCTTCCTGTTTCAGAGGGTAGTTGTCATTTTCTTCTTCATTTTCTTTTCTTTTTAGAATTACCCTGCCTGCTTCATTCACGTGTATAGATCAACTCCTTTCCAATGGTTAACTCTTTGGGAGGGAAATGCCAAGAGAAGTTGAGTTCTGTAAACGTGGTTTTATAACCATTAATCTGTCCTGTGAACTAGAGTGATTTTTAAAAAATTCATGTTCCACAATTTGCATTAGCTGTGCAACATTGCAATTTAATATAGCCATTCCTGAGAAGAATTGACCATATCAGTTGTGATATCCTGCTATAATATATGAATGCATATGTGTCACCAAGAATAGAACAACTGAGTTAAAGAATGCCAGTAAAATGGGGATTGTAATAACACACACACACACAGCTTTTCACATTATTCATTTGAGACGACTTGACAACTGATGAGTCTGGGCCAGCCGAGTTTGAACTCTGGAGGACATTTAGCTGAGTCTTGTGTAAGTCACAGCATCAGTGCAGTGACTTGAAATTTGAAGTTTGTTTTATGACTTTGGCAAGAAAGACCTGATGGCATCAGTTATTCTTGGAGGGAATGGGCTGCTCTGGTATGAATTGGTGTTTCTTTTGTTATCAGTGTGAGATTTTGTGGATTACAGTCTTATCTACTGAAGAAGTGAATTGTACCAGAAGAAAGGTACACACCTCAGTTTATTTTTATGTTATATGCAAACTGCCCATAGTAGACACAGTCTAGATGGGCGGTATATAAATCTAATAATTAAAAATAAATAAATAATGATTTTGGAGTTTTTTCTTTATCAGTTTTTTTTGCCTTTGCCTCCAAGTAGCTAATCCATGTTTAACCCCCTTGAGTGAGATGGATGCATTCCAGAGTAATTGGTTTGTCAAGACTGGATGCAGCATGTGAATTAGAGAGTTCTTTGTTTGAGTCATCGCTCTTGCATAAACACCTTAATGGGATGAAGGATTTCAGTGTGCCAGGAAAGCTTGAGTCCAATTCCATCAGGAAGCTAGACTGTAGAAAGCTGTATAAATGCAGAGTCCTAAAATTGCTTGTAACTTTGTTCTTAATTTCACTCATTTGATTACCATTACAAATAAAAGTAGTGGTTATACTGGAGGATTGAGTTGGATAATAGTATTCTTGCACATTGAGAAGTGATGGTTTGGTGTCCCAGAAGCATGCCTAGAGAAGCACAGATCTTGTTTAACTAAAAAGATAGCATGTGCAATAAGATGAAAGTGTGTTGACTCTATAAACTGTCACTTGAAATCTCTTGGGTTTTTTAAGTCAAAATGTGATAACTTGTTAGCAATGTATGCACCCTCAGATATTGGTTCTGCCCATGATATTGGTCAGTTTGATTGCAGAGAATGTGCTGTTCATATTGGACATGGTTTATACAGCAAAATAAATCAAATACTCTGTGGAGATGAAGGCAAAACATGTTTTCTCCTCCCTTGCTTGGAACATGATTAATCTGACTAGGCAGTAAATGTCACCTCACTTTGGCAGCACAGACCAGAGACAGAACTGTAGCCTTTGCTTATTAGCCCTGAATTAATTCAATCCAAGTTGTTTTAATCAGATCCTACAGATTACAAGGGTGGGAATCTGAGTTCAGCCTCTCCCAGGCGCTGTCCAGTGATTAAAGCAAAATCTTTGGTTGCAGTCTTGGCTGCCTACTACTAGCACACAATGTTAATTTCATGGAATATGACGGCAATGTGCAAATCTGCCAGGATATTCTTTTTCTCTCTCCTTTAACCCTTTTACATTTCTGTTTGGTTCTTCCTTTCCCTAAAATCTGGCTGTATCTCTTGCATTCTGTGTCCCCGTATTTTAGATAAGTCTGTGTGAAGACAGTAGGACAGTCACAGCTTACTGCGTTTGGGACCTTTTCAAAGTTGCTGTAACCTTTTGTTAACAAGCAGCAGTCTCAAGCCAAATGACTTCAAGCTTATACAGGGTTGAAATGGGTGGGACCCGATAGATGTGTTTTGAACTGACATTTACAAGGAGAAGCAGATTGGTTGCTGCTTGAATTTGATTAAACAAAATGTGGAAATTGAGCCCTCTCTGTGGAAAACAGTGGAGATAAAGAAATTGCATTTTCACCACCACCTGCTCTTTTTCTATATTTAAAATGTATTACTAGCTTCATGGCACTTTAGAAAGCTTAAGAATACAGTAGGTCATTAACCTAGAATATAATGTGGATAGAATTTTCCTGAGTGATAGATCAGAGTTGCAAGAGAGGTAGGTACATATATTTAAAAGAAGTAATTTATTATGTGATTTGATACAGTTTCCTTGCCTCAAAGGGAAAATTAACTATTATGTGTTTTCTAATCAATAATGATCATGTGCCATCAAGTCAATTCTGACTTCATGGCAATCCTTTTCAAGGTTTCCCAGGTAGAGAGAACTCGGAAGTGGTTTACCATTCCCTTCTTCTGGGGGGCCCCCTGGGACTGTGCAGCTTGCCCAAGGCCACACAGGCTGGCTCTACTTGCAGGAGGTACAATGGGGAATCAAAATCCCAACCTTTGGCTTTGCAGCCAGATACCTAAACAACGGAGCTATCCAGCCAGCTATTCATTAGATTAGTCACCATTTTTAATTAAGTTTTATTTGTTGTTGCATGTATTGTCACAGATTATATCCAAGTCCAGGTCAAATATGGGTTGATAAAACGTTTTAATTTTCCTAGACCTTTGCATTATTATTTTTAATTCTGCTCCTTATTGGTTATATCACCGCGTATATCTTGCTCATTTAATTATTCCATTGTTTTAGTGATTGGTATGGATTTTGAATCGTATAAAGTAGACTGAAGAGTAGGGTGCAGATGTTAAAATAAATTTTGCATTTGAATTGTGTGAAACTGGAAAGATGTTGGACTAGATGCAGCCCTTCCTGATTAAAAACCTGGGACGTAAAACCATCTGGATATATCCTGAGGACTGTTATCTATTCATTAGATGTTTCTCAAGTAGTTCTTAAGCGAGTAGAGGCTTACAGAGCTGCAGTTTACTTAGTGGGCTTGGCAAAAAACAGATCAAATTTTGAGTCTTTATAACATTCTGTGCTTAAATTGCTCAAAATATGCTCTCACTTCAGACAGTTCTCTATTTCCAGTTATGGTTTTTTTTATATAATTCTTGTAAAACCAGCAGCCTACAACAAAATGGGAGGAAGAGTTTGATTAGATTAGCAAGCGATCACACTTGGCACAGAACTTCTTGCAATACACATCACAAGCTTGTCCGGTTCAGAGATAATACACATAAAATGTGTGCTGTAATCCGAGATTCTTGAGTGCCAATTCATTTGAAGTCCCTGAAGATGTTTTCATAATGCCCAAGTGAACTGCCAGTGTCACTAGATCGACTCTTAGTTACAGATATTTTCACCTCTAATGGTTGTTGTGGGTTTTTCAGGCTCTTTGGCCGTGTTCTGAAGGTTGTCCTTCCTAAATCCATAACAATCATTAGATCCCGGCCGTGAAAGCCTTCACGAATACATTTTCAACTCTAAATTAACTCCTTATGTGAAAGGTTTTGCATTGCTGGAACTGCTGGGTTTGCTGTTCTAGGAAATTCCACTCCTGTCCCAGTTTCCAAGTCAGTCTCAAATATGCCTTCATTTTTAAATGGCATCTGTCATATTGACAGGGTTCATTCTTATCTCCATTGCTGAAACTCCTCCCTGTAGCAGCTACAGTAATGTATAAATTGGGCTTTGCATTACTGAATATCTACTCTTACGTCTTTAATCTCAATCCACTCTAGGAGAACACTAGTTAAGCTTTTAACTGGTGTTCTCCTAGAGTGGATTGAAATTAAAGACATAAGAGTAGATATTTAGGTATCTCCTCAAAATATCTGGCTATTTAAACAGTTTAGTCACTCCTGAGGTCATTTAGAAGCAGTAGTTCCCAACCTTCGGTCCCCAGATGTTCTTAGACTAAAACTTCCAAAAGTGGTGTGTTGGCCAGGATTTCTGGGAGATGTAGTTCAGGAACATGTAGGGACCCAAGGTTGGGAACCACTGATCTTAAGCAACACTGTTATGCAAACTTTTTTCCTAGGTGATCATTGCTTCAGGATCATTTTCTGAGTTGAAAGCTCTGAAATAACATCCAAGATAAAGCAGCAGTATTACTAGTGGATGCTCTCTTTTTTTAGAGAAGAGGTTTTTTAAAAATATCTTTGAAAGAGGCCATTGCATTGCGTTCTCATATGTGTTGTTAAGAACAAAGGCAACATGTAGCAGAATTGGTCTAAACTTTGTTTCTCTGCTTGAAAAGGACGGGGATTGAACTATAGCTCCCAAAATTCTAGGAGTTGCAGTTCAAAAAGTAACTTTTCTAAGCTCTGTTTTGAATGAAATTTAAGAAGGGATCAAAATCCTTATGTTTCAGAATGGGAACAGATTTTAATTGATACCTGGGGTATCCTCGGATCTCAATTTATTTTTAATGTATATTTTGTATTTTATCTAGAATTTATAATGATTTATATTTAATTTCTCTCTTAAGAATGGTTTATCTACAAAGTGTACTGTTTATTATAGTGCAATGTGGGGGTATTTAAGAAGAAACTGGCCTGTTGCCGTCGATGGTATCTGTTCCTTCTGCCTTGAGTCAACCCTTGCATTGTTGGGCAAGATAAGAGGTCTGGGTTTTGGCCTTGAAGGTGAAGCAGATGGTGTAACTTGATAACACCCAGTAGTGTTGCGGGACCTCTTTGTTCTAGAGGTTTTCAGTATCACTTTTGCACAACCAGTAGCTGCAGAGTTAAATAGTCAGGCTCTAATGTTCTGTGTTTGTTTTTTCCCTTTGTTTTCTTAGGATGTGTTATTACTAAGCCAGTTCATACGCTCTGATGGAGGGATGCTGCCTCGGAAAATCACAGGCCTTTGCAATGTAGAGCACAGGAAGATTGTTGTGTGTGTACAGATGGCACACCGAGCAGGTACATTTGGGAACTACTCCTTTTCTGTTTTATGTGGCATTTTAGGATAGGCAGAATGTACAGTACTGCATGCAGGAACTGGGCCACCAAATATAACTGGGATTCAGTTGCCCTAAATGTCATGAACTGAAGGGTGTGCCTTTCCCAGTTTCCCCGCAGAAGCAGAACAAATATGCAGGTATTCCTTCCAGATATGTGGCTGAGTTTCATAATTGGGTACAGGTGTGACTTGCAGATTTAGATAAAAGTAGTTGAGTTTCAGATTTAGATACTACTGAAGGTTATTGGTTGGATACCTCTACCCTGTGTGGCATATAAACAGTCCATAATGAATTAGGCTTAATGCTGCAGAGTAGGTGGACAATATCCTCTTAGTGGCCTACATATAATAAAGTAAATCAGTGGTAGATGGTCAGGAACATCTGACTTTTCTTCTGTGGCCTACAAAGTTTGTGAAACAATTCAGAAACCAAGATTTGTGGTCATTTTGTGTGAAATGCTGTGCAAATAAATATATGGCATCCAGGTGAGGTTTCCAGTAACTGAGGATTGGTAATTCCCCCTAACACAGGTCTGTGCTGTCTCATTATGTTATGTGTTATGTTATTACTTGCTTTAAGTTCTAGCGATACGCTTTAGCTGCAGCTGTTTCTCTACATAACGTATGTTCATGTTTGGTCATACTGGTGTCTCAAATTCCACCCTCCCGTTGTTTCAGGATTGCTACCAAATCATAGGCCTAAGCTTCCAGAAGGATTTGTTCCAAAATACAAGACGAAGTTCAACAGGTTAGTTGTATCTGTCATAAAGGATTTGTTTTCCTTTTCTTTTTTCAGAACTAGGATGGGTGGGTTGAAAACAGCAGATCTATCCAGGAACCAGCTCTTGTGATGCAGAATGGCTCAAACTGTCAGGCAGGCTTCTGCAGAATGCAGATGTTGAGTACAAATAAGTTTTTACATTTTGTTGATAATATGTAATCAAGGCTCAGTGTTGATGCCAATCCAGCTGGATTTGTTAAAGAGGAGGGGTGGGATTGTCAATTTCTGACTGTTGTAAGTTTGGTTCCCAAAAGCTTGAAATGGAAAATGAGGTGTCTAGGAATTAGGAGGACAAGGAGAGATCTTAGGATGTGGGCAGTACATAAGTATGATAGTACAGACATTATTTCCATTTTCCATTTGTTTCACACAAACTGTATTTCATATAAATAATCTAGTTTATATTGACCTTATATGTGCAACACCACCTCCTTTCTCTGCTCACCTTCCAAATGCCCCCTGCACTTAATTTGCCTATCCAGTCATTGTTGTAAAGGTTGAGCACTGTTTCAGGGGTGGGAGAGAGAAATGGTGCTGTGGCGATCACTGTAATGTTCTTTGCTGGTGTGAGCAGCAAAACAAGAGGGGCTGGCTCGGTATTAACAGTAGGAGGCAGAAGGAACAGGAAGGAGGAGCTCATTAGATTTGTTGCCCCTTTTGTCCTGGGTTGGTTCCTCTTTTGTCTCCAGTTTGTAGTTCACCCACAGTTTGCCCTTCCTCTGTGGCTCTCTTCCTTCTCCATCCTGTCCTCCCCCATTGCTGAACACCCCCTTGCCCCTTAATGGAGAAAAGTAAACCCCCTGTTGCCTCTTCCGCTTTGCTCTCCGTTAAGAGGTGGTAATCCTCTATTTATGACCTCGCCTTCTGTTTCCATGGGGATGTCAAAGCAGTTTATGAAGTTCATATGAGCAAGCTGTGGGGTTACTAAAGGCCACAGATATGCTGCTTGGGAAAGCAGAGAGACTCCAGGTTGCAGCTTAACATCCCTCTTGCAATGGTGGGTCCAGACCTCCATTCGTTTGCTTTGGATGTTGTCATAGTTTGTTTGTTTGTTTGTTTGTTTGTTTGTTTGTTTGTTTGTTTGTTTGTTAGATTTATATCCCGCCCATCTGGTCTGGTTGCATGGTTTCTCTAATGATAGTGTTCTGGAGAAAAATCGGGTTGTTTGTATAAGCAGAGGGGAAGGCTAAATTTAACATAATTCCTTCTGTGGTAACATGGAATATAATGGTGATCAGATATTTAAAGATAATTTCATTAAACAATTGAGTGTTGCATTTGGATTAATAGTTTATTCCTTATTTACTAGTACTACTTAGTTACTGATACAAGTGTTTTAAGAGAGTATGTTTTTTCCACGTGTGCATGTATATTGAATATGTGACTATATGAGTAGTTGGAATTTTTTAAAATAAAAAATAGATTCTTGGAGCTATCTAGTGTGCTGAGATGGGGTGCTTGGCTACACAGCCAGGGTCTGACTCCCCACTGATCTTTCCAGGAGAGGGATCAACCAAGATTACCTGGAGCATGTGAAACTATTGGGGTTACATTACATGTGGAAAGAGAAAATTTCCCAAAAATTCATTTTTTTTTCTGGGGGAAAGCATACTTAGAAGTGTTTTCATTTTATCATAAGAACTCTGGTGTTCCTTAGAGATGTAATATTTGTGAAAATTTCCATTTTTCCAGGGAAAAAACATTTTCATTTTTTTTCCTGGAAAAAACAATTTTTTTCCGAAATTTTGCATCTCTAGTTACATACCTCTGTTAACTTGGGCAAGCTGCACAGTCCCAAAGTGCCTACCACAAACTTTGCTGTAAGAAGATCAGGTCTGAGTCTCTTGAGTTCCACACAGTGGTAGCTTAACTCAGAGGTCCCCAACTCCCAGTCCGTGGCTTGGTGCCAGTCCGTGGCCTGAGCCGGACCGGGCCACAGAGAGAGACCTCCCACCCCCACATGCACTCTCCCCCAGAGCCTGTTTGTACCTGCATGTGAGCACCCGTGTGCCCGCATGAACACTGCACCGCTTTTCGCGCATGCACACAAGTGCTGCACCACTCTTTGTGCATGCACACAAGCGCACACACATGCCTTCGTGCATGCGCACAAGCGCAGGGGCTGCCCCGCCTTCCCCAGCCAGTCCGCGGGGCGAAAAAGGTTGGGGACCACTGCCTTAGTTCACTTGCTGTAAAATAACTGAAGAAAGCAGAAAGTGATAAATTGCATTCATATACCATGGAACTCACAAGGTTTTAATTCAGGCAAATTTATTTAAAAAAAACAACAACAGTAGCATGTAAACAGGAACATCTACTGTATAACCAAACTAGTCTGGTGTCTTCCTGTCATCCTATTTCCTTGTTTTCCGTTGCCTTTTCTGCCCAGAAAGAAAACTGGAGTGTGGAAAGGGATGGAGGCAGTGTTGGTCGAGGTGAATGTTAGGAATAGATCTGGCAGCAAAGGAAAGAAGAATATTTACATGTGGCCAGAAGTATTGATAGTAGGAAGGTTTCGCAGGAACTGGAATTGAAGTTGGGAATGGGGTTGAGGGCTTAGAGTTGAGCTTCTTAAGGTGCTGTTAGGAACGCTGCTGTAGTCCCTCACAGTATTGTCTTTATCAGCTGGAGGTAGAAGGCTCTGTGTTTTTGGAATCTTGCCATGTTTCAGCCACTACGGCGGTGCTGAGGGGTTTGGCTATGTGCCTACCCCCACCTGTGCCTCCCACGTTGATCTCTGAAACAGCCAGTGATGCAGAGGACAGGAGACTTTTTAACCACTTCCTTTCTGCAGCTCTAGGAGGTTAGGTCATGACACACTGTCAAAACTGCCAGGTCCCATATTCTTCAGAGCAGCATCAAAAGAGGCAAGCAAGTGTGTTTAAAGCACAACCCCTCCTCACCCCAGCTTGAAAGGTTCCATTTTGCCATGGTCTTGTTCACTCCTCTTTGCTTTCACCTGTAAGATTGTTGCAGTGTTTGCAGCATCTTTATACTCAGTTGCTTGGGACACATTACAATATTATCATCATCTGGAGGTCTCTGAATAGCTTGCTGGTGGGAGTGGGTGAGTATATAAGTGACCGGATCCTTCATATGAAATGAATATCTTATTTTACATGGTGAACCAAATGATTGACATATCTGAATCAAGGATAATGTTGTTATACTTACAGATATTCCTGAAGTATAAACTTGAAGCTGGCTTTCTGCCTTATTTCATTTGCCCATCTTACCTTTGGACAACTGGATTTTGAACACAAAACCATTAAAAGCCACTTTATAACCATCACTAGTCAGTCTAACCAAGTGTTGTCAACACTGGCTCGGTGCAAGCTGATTATTTTTCCTAGCCCTAGATTAAGATCCTTGGTATTTCCACATAATCTCCCATTTAATTACAAACTAAGCTGGCCTTGCTTAGCCTCCAGAATTTTCTACCTTGTAGAAGCAAGAAGCTAGGACAGGTAAGTGAAGGTTGCTTCGAACTGGCTGAAATTTCAAAATTATGTTTTCGCATTGAAATTATCCCTTTATTACACATTCTCTTGGTCTATTATTGGCTTTGTCTAATATGGAAATGCCATATACTGTGAGCAGTCATATGTAGTAATGGATCCAACATGTGTTTCTAAACGCATACCAGGGTCAGCTAATGATACTGCATATTGTTCTACATCTGGTATCAAACATAAAAATCAAATGTGGTCATGCACTCAGATAAAATGCGGCTACATGTCAAAATTTGGCCAGTATTTGATAGCCAAGTGAGCGGTTATTTTTATTTTTATTTTTAAAAAAATTTAAGAGCAAGCAATCTGTTGGGGCACCTGGATTGGCCAGTTACTTTCTACTCTCTTTCACAGTCGCTATCAGGTTAGTGAATTGTTCAACCAGGAAGAATCAGAATAGGAAGCCCTCATTGTTCAGGCAAAATTCCAACCCACACAGGAAATCTCTTGTAACACTTCCTGTCCAGAAAGGTCCAGTAGTCAGGCTGCATAGACAGAACTAGGCTAGTGGTTGAGAAGGCAAGCAAAGAAAGATGTTTCTCTTCATGCAAGCTTTCCTTTAATGATCTGCTATCTGAGAGGGGTTTTAAATGGATGGAGTGTGGCCTTGTTACTTTGAATGTGGCTTTGGTAATTGATTTTGTTTAACATTTTTAGTGTGCTATTTTTTGATTCTTTTTTAATATTTGTAGACATGCTGTTTTTAGCTTTTAAATGTCTTTTAATGATGTAAGCCACCTTGGGTACTTTTTAAGGAGAAAGGTGGGCTGAAAGTATTTTAAATAAAATAAATTTATGATAAACTACTGTGAAAATAGTAATTTCAGGCTTCTGATTTTGCATGACAGGCTGCATGTCATTGCAACTGTTAACACAGCTTTTTTAGACCTTTCTAATTGGATTCCTGTCTCCAGCTAAGAGGTAAAGGGAGAAAAGGCGAAATGTATCTTACAGGCCTCTTGATTCAAAATCAGGCTGCTTGTATTGCCTTTCCATCATACACTAAGCCTGGTTTATCCTGTGCAGCAAAAGTGCTCTGGGGAGTGCAGAAGGCTCTACAGACTTGCTTGAACGAACCAAGGAAGTCTTACATCTGCAATACCATATTTAGGCATATTTATAATCCCTCATGGATATGGCACAACGAGAAAACTGGCACCATACCTTGGTAACACAGAGTGCAGTGAACCTTTTGGCTAACAAAACAGAGGCCTATTGGTTGGAGCTTGTTTGGGCTCCTTCACACAAACAGGAAAACAGTATTGGCTTTTATTTAACACGTTTAATGTACAAGGGCCTCAAAATGAAAATAACTGAAATTGACTCCTTGATGGGGGTGAGATGCATGCATTTCTGATCTATGTAATTCAATTCATGCCTTCACTAGGACTGTTTGCAGCAAAGTAGTATGAGTTAGGAGCTAGCTAAATTGTAATAACAGTTTTCAGGAAAGGA